CATTTTCATTCCAATCATGCTCAATTCCAGAAAACAATGAAATTCTCATTTTCATTCCAATCATGCTCAATTCCAGAAAATAATAATCTTTCATAAAAATCATCACAAGTTTCATTTCAGTTAAATCACACTCAGATGCTGATAAAATCAATTTAAACCTTGCCACCATCTCAAAAACAATTTAAAACATGTTTTAAAATCGAAGGGATTTACCATAATTTACTTACCTTAATTACACAGGACAGAAGGCCTAATCCCAGCGCTAAGGCCACAAGACAATCAAGGACCTAATCACAATGTTCCCAATTAATATCTATGTATACACAATTACACAATTACAGATATACAATTTCTCAAACTAATGGACAAGAATTTGGGAGAACCGGCCTTGACAGAAAATGGCCAATTCACGGAATTCTCCCCTTTTCTCTCGGACATCACACAACAATCAAACCCACTAATTTCCTACACAAATCATCAACCAAAGCCCATTTTCAAATGGCCAAAACTCATCCCTATTTCAACAGAATTTTCGGACAACCCAAACACCCACACAACCAATTAAGCTCACAAGCAGCAATTAATCCACCAATTTTCGGAGATTAGAGGAGCTAACTTACCAAAAATCCTCAACTAGCAAAGCTGGAGTTGGCGGGTATGGGAGGAGCCGGCGGGAAAATTGGAGAGAAATTCGGGAACCACTAGCAATTGAAAGGAACAAAGATTAGGGTGAACCCAACATACATCAAGGCTGAAAAGAAGAGTTTCTAGGCTGGTTTTACCAAGAAAAACCGGAGCTTATACCCAGCAACAGCCGGCAGCAGGGAAGGGGAAGAAGACAGCAGATCCGGTGGCTTTTCTGCAAGAGAGAGAAGTTCTAAGTTCTAGACTTGTTCTTGGGCAAGAGGAGAACAAAAATCATCAAGTTCTCTTACCAATTTTTCGGATGAAGGTACTGGAAATGGCTGGTGATGTTCGGCTGCCGGGAGAAAGGAAAACAGAGCAGACACGCGAAAATGCTGGGGGGAAGAAAGAATGAAAAAGGAAAAGAAAAAGAGAATGAGTCAGCCGGCCTTATCCAAACACCTTTTAACCCCTTTGGAGTTTGAAAAATTGAAGGTTAGGTCCATTAATAATGTTTCTTCATCATTTAGTCCCTAACCCAACTTATATGCTCTAGGAAATTTTGGGGTAT